CATCACCGGGTTAGTGGGGCACAGTCACGCAGGCCACGCTTTGTTGCCATGCCAGAAGTGTGATTTATCTGCACACACACTTGGCCGACAGGCATCAGCTAACAGATGGACATGTGTTGGTTGTATCTTGGAGGCAGACAAACGCCGGGCCGGGATTGGTTCCGGCCAGCATGACTACAAGTCAGGTGACACCTGGCTCATTCGTAAAGCATTCTTCTTCGTCTACGTCTTCTTCTGCCTCTTCTTCCTCTTCAGCCCGCCCGACCAGAAGGCAGAAGGGGCCAGATTTGGCCGATCCGAAGCATACATCTTAATTATGCCCCATTATCGCTCCAGCTGCCAATCTAAATGGACCTGGAGCGAAATGCCCGCTTCTGGGGGGTCATTTTAAGTCATATAATATTCATGGATTTGCGTGCGTGCGCATGCATATATATTTATATTTATATTTATAGCTATATACGTGTTTGTGTGTTTGTGTGTGTATGTGTGTATGTGTGTACGTCTCACTCGAGCTTCATTAAAAGTGGATAATTTGCTGTTTATGACTCCGGCATGGCCGATGCTCAGGGCCTGTTCATGAGGTAGGAAAAACAAGTCAAAATTCCGTCTCTGAAGCACTTTGGAACTGAGGCCACCATTTTTGGTTAAACGGACATCGTCCAAAATGATGTTGTCAACACCCCCAAGTTTTATACCATTTTATACGTGCAGATTGGTATTTTATCCACGAGGACTGCAAGACAAGTAGGATCTTGCACTGAGATCACCTGCGGCAGGCTGAGCAAAGGACGTTTTGCGAGTTTCGGGGGTAGACAAGAGGTCAGACGACTGTGAGCCCTAAATTGGATCACTTAAGACGATGTGGTAGCGATTATGATTTACCCACACCAAATGCATTCACGGACTCGTGATGCCATTCACTTTCACCCTGTCTTGCCCGTCGCCACTCCAGCATACAGCAACGTCTGTCAATGGGTGAGGTTGCACACGAGGTAAACAAATATTGGGCATTCCATTCGACGACGTTACTAGAGGCTTAGTGAGTAGACTCTGTGATTAACATCTTCTAATACAATATTGTACATGCGAATCTGACGTGTAGCCAACAGTTCCGCATATACATGCATAGACATCCAATAAAAATGACTTATCTTTGTTCTGTTATGCATATTGATAGGCTAACAATAATTCATGTCAACGCTAAATG